GATTCAGCTCTATTTTTATTATTGGAAAACGTTATTTGATATGCATTTAAACATTAAACATCCGTGCCTTTGAGTGCTTGTTTAACCTCGGGGACTCCAGCCATAAATAATTGGCATCTCTTTTGCTTCACTTTTGTTTCAACCACTGCCTTTCTGACCTGTTTCACTTGTTTCTCCATTTCATTTTAAAACTCATTTGTTTTCTTGATTTTATTCACTGACCCTTAGTATGTGTATTTGCACTTGAGCATCATTTATTTTAAACTTTACTTCTCATATGCCTTTGTGCCCCCTTCCCAACTTCAATGAATTCTTTTTAATTGCTTCTTGTTTCTAAAATTTTTTGAACATTTCTATCCTTGGTTTTTTAGTTTAAGATTTAAATGCTTATTTGAAGACCTTTAATTACATCTGGAGATTTGTGCTCTAGGGTTTTATTTTTCTGTTTAATGACTAGCATATGGGGGAAAGAATTTTCATTAGCTGAAAAAATTCTTGTTTTCTTTTACCCTTATAGAAGTATAAAGCAGTGACTGCATAGAAGAAGACTGCTCTTTACATAGAGCAGGCAGGATTGGTAGTTTGAGGCAGTTTACAAGGTTCTTAGTTCCAGAGTACCATCTTCTGTTATTGTATCTAAACATGTGAGAATGGCCTTAATTTGTTTTTCAGGTTAATAAAAGGATTTGTATCTGTATGCATGTATATGATCATGATTTGTTTTGTAGGGCCCTTGCTTCTTTTATGCTTTTACCACACACGCCACACCTCTCTTCCTTTCCTCTCTTCAAGACTGCCCACCTCTTACTTTTTGCATCCTCTGTAGTGTCTGTAGTACCAGGACCCCTTTTCAGTATCTTTGCATTTAAGACATTCTTTCATTTCTGAGCGACTTCATTTTCTCTTGGATTCACAATCAATGCTTATGGCAGCAGCAGTTAAGAAGTGTAATGAGGTATTGCTGCAAGTGTAACGATGGAAATCTGCAACACAAAACCTCTTTCAATTGGTGAAAAGAACGTGTGTCACTTTGAAAACTAAGGTGCCCCTGACCTAGGTCGTGATATTTTCAGTCACCTCATATACATCTGAAAGTTGGACATTGAATAAGGAAACCTGGAGAAGAATCTGCATTTGAATGATAGTGTTGGCAAAAAAGTATTGAAGGTACCATGGATGGATGGAAGAACAAACAAATCTGTTTTGTACAGCCAAATGTTCCTTAGAATGCTAAGACTTCATCTCACATACTTGGTGCATGTTATCAGGAGAGCAGTCCTTGGAAAAAGACATCACGCTTGGTAACAGTGGGGCATAGAAAAAGAGGAGACCGTAGACAAGATGGATTGACAGAGTGGCTGCAACAATGGGCTCAAACACAACAATTGTGAGGCTGGAGCAGATGGGGCAGTATTTGGCTTTACTGTATTGTACATGGGGTGACTGTGGGTGGGAATCAGCTCAATGGCAGACAATGACAACCAGAGGTTATTTTATCTTAAATCTCTCTTCTCTCTTGGGTGCAGTTTATTTTGTCCCATCCTAGCAAGTCTTTAGAGGATGTGTGAAAACATTCAGATTTTGCTCAGCTACCTAGTGGTTCTCCTACAAGCTTTGTATTTCAGAGCACTAATTTTGTCATCAGCAATATCTGGGTTTTTTTTAACTCTTCTATGAATTTTTAATTTCCAAGCACTAGTTCATGTTCTCTGATTGATCATGTCTCATAATAGGTTCTAAAGGTGGTAGTATCTTTATCTCTTCATATCTTGGATTATTCATTAGAAAAAGAATTAAAAAGCTATTTTCTATTTCCAGGTTGATTGTTCTGTTTGTTCATCTCAATAGTTTTCCTTGCTTCCTTGGCTGTATGCGTGTCTGGGGACCGTTAGTTGACTATTTGTACTTTTGGATGGGAGGTTATGTTGTTAGCAGAATTATCTGACTTTGACCTTCCTGGGAGATCTGCTTTGTTAAGGAAGATATTCTCTAAGCTACAGGTGGAGGGTGGGAGTGTGGGAGCAAATGCCACAACCAGCTGCTCTCTCTGTATACAAGTGGGAAGTGATGGCAAGAGAGAAGGAGACAAGAACCAGCTGCCCTGGATGTCTTGTCCAGCTTTCTTAGTCAAAGTGTGGTCCACAGAAGGGAAGCTTTCAGAAATGCGGGACTTGGGGGCTTCCCCCTCACTTCTTGTCCCTGAATCTGCATGTTAAGCAGATCCTCGGGTGAGTGGCATGAAGATTAAAGTTGGAGAAGCATTGCTGCATATGACCCACTATGTACTAACTTTGTCCTTCCTACTGTTGCACCCCCAATGACTTCAAGAATGAAACTGGATGGATGTGCTACTGTACAAGCCCTCAAGCATTTCCCCCTCCATTTTCTAAGGCCAGCATTGGTGGAAAGAGGAATCCATTCCTAGCTACAATGCCCAAAACACATGCTCTTTTATCTCTTGGCATGACCCATAGAATCTTCCCTCACCCGTAAAATCCCCTCAGACAGTATAAGACACAAAATAACAATAATAATGTATAATTGAACAATGATTCACGAGGGTGGAAGGGTGGGGGAGGGAAAGGAAGAAAAAGGAGCTGATACCAAGGGCTCAAGTAAAAAGAAATTGTTTTGGAATTGTTGATGGCAACATATGTACAAGTGCACACATGTTATATGTTTAATATTATAGAATTATTGGTTGTTATATAAGATTTGTAAGAGCCCCCCCCCCAACAAAAATGATTAATTAAAAAAGAAGAAGAAATCCCACCTTTTATGTGCATATGTATTTTCCCAGTAGATGGCACTTAGTTCACCCAGAGGCCCTGGTCTTCACACTTGATCTGTGTGTAGTGGAGGAGTTTGTTGTGTGGAGCATTCGGTTGCCTCTTGGCTGGGGAAACCATGTGTGCCGGCTGTTCCTTATCGCATAAATTAAAAAAGAGCCTGGGTTCACGAGTATATTGTATGTGTGCAATCTTACCCATCTCCATCCATCTCTCTCTCAGGACATCCTTCAACATTCCTCTGAGCAGCTATGAGATTTTCTTGCAGGTTTTGCTTGGTTCTTCTGCCTCAATCCCAGACAGACAGTTTTTAGGGTGAAGATCATCTTTTATCCAATATTGAAAACTTACTGAATGCTCAGTCAAGTACAGCCGCTACCCATTGGAGGTTTGCTTGTTGTGATGATGAACATGGGTCTTCCATACTAAGATGGACTAGGAAGGAAGTCCTGACGATCTGCTTTCAGCAATCAGCTGATGAAAAGCCTGTCCATCAGAACGGTCTGACTGTCCTCCACAGGGTGGCTGGAAGTCGCTGTGAGTCGGGGTTAACTCAACAGCAGCTAACAGCAACGTTGAAGATTTACTATGGGCATCTATTTCTCATGTTCTTGATCTCATTTATTCTCCATGAGGTCCACATAGGAACTAGTAATGCTAATAGTTAGGACTTAGTTTTACAGTGTGCCAGGCATCGTCTGAAACATATGATCTATCCACTCATTTAATTCTGACATCAGCTATATGTGAGAGTTATATGTGAGAGATAGATATTATTCTTCCTACTTTACAAATGAGGAATCTGAGACCCTATACAAGGCAAGTTACAATCCTCCTAAGCACACGCTATATAATTAGAATTCAGAATCCAACCCTAGGCAGTTCGGTTCCAGAATCTAGGCTGTTTACAACTTCATGATTGGTGGTATTATTCTCATTTTACAGACAAGGAGAAGGAGTTATACAGCAAAGTAACCTTTCCACTGTCTCAGTGCTGGTGAATGGCTGCCCTGGGGTTTGAACCAGACTCCCCCATCCTTGCTCTTTCCTCGATTCCACATTTCCTTCCAGAGAGAGAGCAGAAAAATATTCCCACTTTTAGGACTTCGGTTTCCAATTGTTCTGTGAGAATTTTGTAGGGATGTAGAGGGAACCAAGCAGCTTCCCTGTGTTAAGGAAGCCAATGTCCTCTCACCCAGCTGGGCTGCTGGCCTGTTAGAAGCTAGTCACGGGAAGACAGCCGTTTTTCCCCTGGACACGTCTCATTTCTCAACACCTCTAGGACTGACTCCTGGAGCCTGATGTTGTTGTGCGCCTTTGCGTGGGTTCTGACCCATCGTGGCCCCATGCACGGCAGAAAGAAACAAGACCTGGGCCTGCTCCATCGTCACAATTGTTTCTAGGCTTAAGCCCATTGCTCTGTAGGAATCGACAAGATGGTTCTGACTCGTAACGACCCTCTGTGCAGCAAAGCGCTGCCCAGTCCTGCCCCCTCCTCATGACTGATATGTTTGAGCCATTGTTGCAGCCACTGTGTCAGTCCATCTCACTGTGGGGCTTCCTCTCTTTCAGTGACCATCGACCTTACCGAACATGGTGAGTCTCTCAAGCCTCACTTGTAAGGAGCATCTAAGATAGATATTTTTTGTTTTTCTGGAAGTCCATGGTATATTGAATAGTTCTCACCAACACCGTAACTTGAAGACCTCCATTTTCCCAGTCTTCCTTATTCACGTCCAGCTTCCACGTGCATATTCAGTCATTGAAAATACCCGGGCGTGAGGCGGGCACACCTTAGTCCGCAAAGTGGCATCTTTTCTTTGGAACACTTTCCAGAGATCTTTTGCAACACATCTGTCAATGCAGTGTCATTTGTCTTCTCCCCTGCTGCTTCCCCAGGCATTGATCCCGTTGCCGTTGATAGTGTCCTGGTTTCAGCCTGGGGAGTAGCAAGATGGCAGAATTCAACCTTGAAGACCTCTGCCTCCTTTAGGGGCATGTAACACTCAACTGACATGTTTACCTTCTTCCGTGTGTCCGCATGTCTACGTCTCCAGGCTCATGCTGGGAGTCAGTGGTTCCCTCTTGCGGGGCAGAGTGTTCACGCAGTGACCCTGGAGTGGGAGGAGTCTGTGGCGTGGGTTCAGCTGTGAGAGCCACACAGACTCTCTGTCTTTCCTAATCTCTAACACTAATCTCTCTTCTTCACAGTGTGGAAGCAGCCAGCATTGGATTTGTCATCGTTATTGACAGACGGAGGGACAAGTGGAGCTCCATAAAGGCATCCTTGACACGAATCGCTGTAAATATTTATTTTTGTGTTGTTATCATACACAAAATTTAAGCTGTCTAGTCAGCTCAAATTCATGGGAAGGTAATGCACAGGCAATTATTTTATATTGAATTCTGGAAGGTTTGTCTAACAGATTCTGTTGTTTCCCACCTGAAGATCACCTGCAGTCACTTTCTGAGCATGCCAATTGACATCTCTGGTCACCGACAAGGGGCCAGCAGGGAGTGCTGGGGAGGCCGTGCCTCCGCGGCATTCCACAACCACAGAGTTATGGGTCTTGGTGGATGTGTTAGACAGAGAAACAAAACCAGAATGCTAATAATCATATATATATTTATACAGATAGATAGATAACCTAAGAAATAAAGTTAATTAAATTATAAAGCAGTACAAATGGCTCAGTGCAACTCACTCCCGTGAGACAGTTGTGAGACACTGGCAGTCCTTCATGTCTTGAGAGCCGCCGGGTAGTCCTCTGTAGAGGAATTCAGGCTATCCGGGCACAGGCAGCCAACAGCAAGGCAGGTCACCAATAGTCAGCCAGATGACAGGGTCCGACAGTCCCCAGCTCAAGCGATGTATACTCCAGTAGCATGGCAAAGCCCATCTTGAAGGAACCTCAAATTACAGTGACACAGTCCACGGGTTAGGTGTCCCACAGGTAGTGTAGCTTGCAATTGAGGCACAGAACAAGCAGGGCAGCTGCACATTGGTCCGATGATCAAAGAGCAAGAGACAAGAAAGGCAAGGCTCGCCGAGCCATTTACCTCTCCACCCTCCAATTAATCCCACATGTGTTTATTGACCAGTTTGGCACAATAAACAAACTACCTCAGTGGATAAGCCCCAACTCCTGTGTGCTTCACTGAGACAATCCTAAGATATATTCCGACCATATATCAGAAGGTCTGACTCCCTGTGAAATCTCATCCACTTTAAATGCATTGTCTGTGACCTTAGTCCAGAGAGCAGAGTAGATCGTGGCAATGGTTGTGGCAGTTGCTCTCTCCCCCTGATACTGTCCATGCTCCTTCCAGGTAGCGTTTCCAGGAAACCTGCAGCTCATCTTCATCCTGCGTCCATCCCGCTTCATCCAGAGGACCTTCACTGACATTGGCATTAAATACTATCGTGATGAGTTTAAAATGAAAGTGCCGGTAAGCGTGACCTTTCATCTTGTTGTCTTCATTGGGTTAGGGTTCTGTCTCCTTCTCCCTCTCCTTACGTCCCGTCCTTCTTGTTTTCAGTCAACAAATACTTATTGAATCTCTGTCATGCTCACAGCAGCGTGCTAACCATGGTGGGTCACACCTGCAATTGCGATCTCAAAACCATATACAAAGTAAACATGGGCCCCAAATACTTGTACTCAGCTCCCGGCTTTAACATTCAACTCTACATCCACCTTATTTCATCCCATTCTCCGTTTCCATCTCTCAAGTCATATCCGACATCATATAATTCTGATTGAAATATTATTGGTACTTATTTATATTTTAATAATAAATAAATAGCCCAAAGGAATGTTTTCTTAATCATTATTAACAATAGTTTTTGTAGTTAATATTTCATTAATGATTTATTACTTGCTATTAATTTAAAATGTCACTTATTAATGAGGAATGAGTCATTGTTATTTCATAATTTATCATTAATTCTGATACAAAATTTCATCTGATTCACATTTTAAATGTTTTTACAACTGGTTAGTAACTTTTTTAATTGTTTCAGATAAATGTAAATAAGGTTCATACATTATAATTCATTGATGAGTTTCATAGATCTTTTTTAGTTGACAGATTTTGTCTCTATTCCTTCTTCTTTTCTTTTCTTTTCAATTTATTTTTTGGTTGAAGAAACAGAATAGTTTGCCCTATGCAGTGACTGAGTTAAGATTTTGCCGATGGAATTCTTGTAGATGTTATGTTTTCTCTTTCTATATTTCACGCCAATTAATTGCAGGCTCTAAAGGCTTTGTCAAAGATGTCATTTTGTTTGGATTTACAATTAACACATTAATTTGGAGGCAGCAGTCAAGAAATCAAAGGAGGTATTGCATTCTACTTGCAATACTTTTTAAAGTATTGAAGATCTTTTTAAAGTATTAAAGAACAAATATGTTGCTTTGAAGTCTGAGATGTGCTTGGCCCAAACCATAGTCTTCTCAGTCGCCTCACATGCATGTAATGTCTGGACAATGGGTAAGGAAGACCCCAGAGGCATCGATGCGTTTGAATTGCGGTGTTGGCAAAGGATATTAAAAGCACATTCAAACATTAAAAGAATATTAAAAGTACAGTGGGCTTGAAGTCTTTCGTGACAAACAAGTTCATCTAACAATGAATTTTTTAAAAAGTACTATAGACTGCCAGAAGAACAAACAAATCTGTCTTGGAAGACGTACAGCCAGAATGTACCTTAGAAGTGAGCATGACAAGACTTCCTCTGATGTGCTCTGGACATGTTGTCAGAAAGGATCGGTCCCTGCATAAGGACATCATGCTTTTTAAACCAGAACAAAAGCAAAACAACAAAAAGCTCTCAATGCCATAGGTGCTGACTCACAGTGACTCTAAGACAGGGTAGAACTGCCCTTGTGAGTTTCCAAGACTGTTACTCTTTATGGGAGTAGAAAGCCCACCTTTCTCCTGAGGAGAGGCTGGTGGTTTGGAACTTCTGACCTTGTGGATCTCAGCACAACATGTAACCACAAAGGCTAGTGAAAAATAAGACTTTTAAGAAGGTGAATGGGCACGATGGTTGCAACAAGGAGCTCAAACGTAACAGTGATTCTGGTGATGGCACAGAGTGGAAAGTCTTTCATCTTGTGTATGTAGAGTCACCATGGATTAGAACCACGCAATAGCACCTAAAAACCACCTGAGTTAGTTAATTGTGCCAGCCTGGCTGATAATCACATGTGGGGCTAATTGAAAGGTGGAGGGATAAATGGGTGGTGAGTCTTGCCTTTCTAGTTCTCTGGTCTCTTGCTTTGTGATGGTCACACCAGGGTGCAGCTGCCTTAGCAGTTCCCTGCTTCAGCTTGCAAGATTGACTTCCTACAAGACATCCTCAAGGAGAAGCCACATGGACCTATCCCGATGCAGCCCTGGGTGCTGGAGCAGCCATGTGGAGACCCCTGCTAGTGCTGAGATGCTTATCCGTTCACTGACTCAGCTTTCCTCCTGCAGTCGGCGTCATTGCCTCTGTTTTGTGAGGTGGAAGACTTTGTGGACTGGTGTTGGGTTAATGGGTTAATGTTGGACTTGTGGGCTTGGGCAGCCTTGGGTTGGGATGTTTTCATGATGCACACTTTCTTTACATAAAACTCTCTTATACATGAGTTGCTGTGGATTTGTTTCTCCAAAGTACCCAGACTAATACACCACCATACCAAGACCGACTCAGGTCTGTATTCTACTTCTTGGCTACATTTCTTCATACTTGGTGGTGTACGCTTCCAATCTGAGGTCTATAATGCTTGGTTTTCTTTCTGTTTGTGATTTTAGCAGTGACTGATAATCATTACCTATACCCATTAATTCACGAGGGGTTGCAAGTAGTGTTACTCTAATTCTTTAATTAGATTTGATAAAGAGAGGCTCACCAGCCATTTGGTTATCTTGAGGGACAATTCATTTGATAAAAATATGATAAATGTTTATTTCGTTTTCTCCTCATTTACAAGATTTTGAAATAATTAGTTGATTACTTAAGATCCTTCAATTGACTCATGTGGTTTTTGTTTCTTTAATTTTTCTAAAGCATTGGATTTAAATATATGTGAAATGTTTTAGTCCATTGAAGTCATTATCTTTGATGCTCCATTTTATTCCTTCTTTGGTCATTATATGCTTTATTGAGTTAACTCTTGAGTCCTTTTGTCACTGTCTTTGGCTGGGTTTTCTAGAGAAGCCAAACCAGGGAAAGTTATATGTGTATCTATAGAGAGAGATTTGTATCAAGAAAATGGCTCACACAATTATAGACGACTAGGGCAATTCCTAGTCAGGGAAAATCCCAAGTCCACGGGTTAGATGTTAGTCTGGAAGCTTCTTCTGACTTGCGTACGGGCATTGATGAACCCAAGACCATCAAGAAGACCATGGCTTGTGGCTGCAGAGGGGTATGAATCCAAGGTTGGCAGGTCAGATGGCTGGTCCCTGATAACTCCCAGGATTGACAAGCAATATTGTAAGTCATTGACTCAAGTCCAAAGAAATGGACATCAACAAGCTCAATGCAGGTTTCAGACCCAACAAAAAGGCAAGAAAGCTTTTCTAAAGCTTCTACATATATGAGAGGCAGGCCACAGCCCCACAGAAACTTACTTTCAATTGATTGATTACTCACAGCAGATCTTATTACGGAGGTTATTACATTATGTTACATCTTATCATGGGGAATCACTAGGTCTTACCTGCTAACCACTGGTAATCTTGACCCAGTCAAATTGATACAAAGCAATAATGTGTTAGTCCAGAAAAATTAGAGAAACTAATACAGGGAGACTCGTAAGTGTGCAAGAGAGAACTTTATATTGAAGTGTAGTCGTGGTAGCTACATAATCTCGTGTGAATTTGTGGATTCAGAATGAAGGAGTGGAGTATAGCCTGTCAATTGGGTCATAGTTTGATGACCTCATTTGGAGGTGCTAAGGAGATAAATAGCTCGCTGGAGGTGGGACACATGCTCACTCCTTACAAGACATCCCTGTGGAGAAGACACATGGAGAGAGACTGATGGAGCCAGACCTCTCGAGCTGGAGAAGTCACATAGAGATCCCTGTCAGTGCTAAGATGCTTACAACACTACTGGATCCACAAGACTTCCCACCCACTGGCCTGTGATCTTCCTGCATTCAGCGCCATTGCATGTTGCATGAGTCTGAGGAGGAATTTATAGATTGGTATGTTAGACAGGGTTCTCTAGAGAAACAAAACCAGGACACTAATGATTTTATATATATTTATATAGATAGATGTAAAATAAGAAATAAACAATTAATCCATAAAGTAGTATAAATGGCTCAGTGTAACTCACTCCCGTGAGACAGTTGTGAGACACTAGCAGTCCTTCAAGTCTTGAGGGCCGCCGGGTAGTCCTCTGTAGAGCAATTCAGGCTATCCGGGCACAGGCAACAAACATCAAGGCAGGTCACCAACAGTCAGATGACAGAGTCTGACAAAGGAAGGAACATTATCAGACCTTCAATTTTGGACTGGAAGGTAGTTCAAGCCCCAAAATCCATTTGCAGGGTCACCACTTGGATTAAGCCTCTCGTGAATCTCCTCTGAACAGAGTGCATTAGAAAGTGAAATAATGTAGCTGTGGTTAGGTTAACATTTAATGCCTTATGATTTGTTCTCCCTTTTGACCCATTTTAAATTTGTTCTTGTTTTTATTATTTGATGCTTTCTTTTCATTTGGAATTTTTTTCTATTTTATTTTGTAACTGTTGTTCTTTGGGGGGGTATGTTTTTCTGTACAGGTAAATCTATAGAGACAGCAACTGGAAACACTAGTTTCTTGGGGCTATGGCAAGGGAGATTGAGGGGAAATGGCCACCTAATAATAATGAGTACAAGAGTGAAGAAGATGTTCTAAAATTTATTGTAGTGGTGATTGTACATCCCTTTTTAATACATTTAAACCATCGAATTTTATGACATGTAAATTATATGTCAATACAACTGTTAAAATTAAAACAAAAGTCCTCTTAACAAAAATATCAATCTAGTAAATAAGAGAAAATATCTTATAGTCTTTTCTACCAATTATTTATCATTTGCTTCATGTCTTATATTTATAAACAAAAGATATATACATCTTTGAAAACGTTTTATGAATTATTGGATATAAAACTGATATATAAAGGATATAAAACTGATAAATACAGGATATATAAAGGACATCTCAAGATCTATCTTGAAGACAATGCTCTCTATGATAGGTTAGTATTTATCCTAATACAAGAAATGATTACTCAAATTTATGCACCAACCACTAAAGCTAGTGATGCAGAAATTGAAAACTGATAGCAACTTCCTCAGTGTAAAATTGATCATATGGCAAGATACATTGTTGGTTACAGGAATGCGAAAGTTGGCAACAAAGAGGAAGGAAGAGTAATTGGAAAATATAGCCTTGCTGATAGAAATGAAGCTGGTGGTCACAGGATAGAATTTTGCAAAACCAACTTCTTTATTGAAAATACCTGTTTTTCAACAATACAAAAGGCAGCTATGCATGTGGACTTCCCAGATGGAATACACAGAAATCAAATTGACTGCATCTTTGGGAAGAGAAAATGGTAAAGTTGAATATCAGCAGCTAAATCGAGGCCAAGGGTAGGCTATGGATCAGACCATCAATCACTTATATACGTATATACCAGTTCAGGCTGAAGTTGAAGAAAATCCAAACAAGTCCTTGGGACTCAAAATATGACCTTGAGTCTAACCCACCTGAAACTTGAGAACATCTTAAGAATAAAGCCTATGCATTGGACACTAATGGCAAAGACCCACTGAGCTGTGGGATGACATCAGAAACATTAGACACCAAGTAAGCAAAAGGTCATCAGAAACACAGGAAAGAAAGAAAAGATCAAAGTGGGGGTCAGAAGAGACGTTGGAACTTGCCCTTAATCTTAGATTAGCTAAGGCAAATGGAAGAAATGATGAAGTCAAAGAGCTGAACAGAAAACTTGAAAGAGCAGCTTGAGAAGGCAAAGCCAACTATTAGAATGAAATGCACAAAGGCTTCGAAAACCAAAAGGGGAAAACATACTCAGCTGTGGTAGTTACATAATTTCATGTCAACTTGAAGATATATAATAGTGTAGGGGTGATATTCAACCTGTCAATCAGGTCGCAACCTGATGGTGCCTATTTGTGGGCATGGCCTTCTCATAAGGTGAGCCCTGGGAACCCTCCTGTCTCTCTCTGTTCTACAAAGGGTTGCTATGAATTAGAACTGACTTGATGGTACCTGAAAAAAATAACCATCATTTAAACTATAAAAGAGCATGGAAAATGCATGTTATGCAAAACCTATTCATGAATTTAAAAATGTACTAGCTTGTTATGATGTGTCTGTACAGGATCTAGTGTGAACTATTAAGAAAAATAAGATATCAGTTTGAAAAGTGCCCCTATTAGAGCAACATGAATTCTGCGAAAATTGAAACAAGAACAAACATCAACTTTATGGTGACGTTTGAGTCAATGAATGGTGGAATCATCATATCATTGATACTGTACACAAAGTTTATGGGGGAACAATACCCCAAAGAAATCAGCAGTTTACAAATGGATGACTTGTTTTAAGACTGTACTAAATATACAGTGTTGATGATGAAGCCCTTAGCAGCAGACCATCAATATCAATTAGCAAGGAAACAATTAATCGTATTCATGCCCTAATGGAAGAGGACTGAGGATTTGCAGCCGATACGAGGGCCAACACCACGTTAAGCATATTTTCGGCTTGCTAGGTGCCAAAACTGTTGTGCCCAGATTGATCGGCTGCAGACAAGAGCAGAACTTTCAACAGAAAGTTTAAACAAGTAGGATCTACATCCTGTAGCGTTTCCTTGAAGAATTCTAACAGGAAATGAAACATGGCTCTATCAGTACAATCCTGCAGACAAGGCCCAATCAGAGCAATGATTATCAAAAGGTAGAGGTGGTCTAGTCAAAACAAAAATGGAGTCGTTAAGAGCAAAGACCATGGCAACAGGTTTTCTTGGGGATGCTGAAAGCATTTTGCATATTGACTTTCTGGATGGCCGAGGGTAATTCACATTGGCTTATTGTGAGATATTTTGAGAAGGGTAGTCAAAGCTCTAGCAGAAATAGGGCCCAGGAAGCCTCTCCAGTGAGCCCTTTCCCACTACAGCAATGGTGTTGCTCCTTCTCTCAGCAATCGGGGCAATTTTTCAAGAGCTTGATAAGAAATTGTTAATGCACTTTATAGTCATGACTTGGATCCGTCTGACATTTTGTTTCCCATTTGTCTTGAGTTTATTGTGTAAAAAAATAAAAGTACTGAACTGATGTGAAATTCCCAGACCATAGTTCACATCTCAGTTCTTTAGGGCTGGACTAACTGGGTAGTATCATCACTTACAAAAGTGAGCTTGAACTTGATGGAGCTGATGTTGAGAAATACAGTTTCTGTTTTTTATTTTCATTGTTGAATTCTATTTTCCATGAAGCTTCTGAGGTCCTCTTCTAAGTACACACTCTTTTTAAGTTAATGCTGTCCACTCTAAATGACACTCCGATGACTGCAAACAACTACTGTTAAAGTGGTTTTTCTCCTGAAGACATGTTCCACTGGGGAAGGAGCCAAGTTGCTGCTTCAGTGACTGCTGAGCTGTGGCACCAGCAGCACACCAAGAGTGTGCTGGCACATGTGGTTAAGCTACTGAATGCTCGCTGGCAGCTCGACAGTTCAAACTCGTCAGCTGCTCCCTGGGTGAGAGAGGTGGCATCTACTTCTGCAAGCCCTGTGGAGGCAGCAGTTCGATTCTGTCTTATGGGCTCACTCTGAGCTAGAACCAATGCAGTGGCAATGGTTTAATTTTTATATGATATTCTTTTATTTATTTTTATTCTCTGGACTCTGTAAGGCTTAAAAGGGAAAAAATATGGTGAAATGGCCTTTCCTTTGTTATTATTTTTTAATTGGCATGCAGTAATTTTTTTTTCTTTTTGGGTCACAGTTCTCTGGGTTTTTCTAAAGGCATAGATTAACAACCCCACAGTCAAAATACACAACAGTCCCATCACCCCCAAACATTCCTTTGCGCTGCCCCTTCCTGGCGAACTCTGTACCCGGTCCTAAACCCTGGCAGCCACTGGCCTGCTAGCAGTCCACCCTTAGATGAGTTTTCTTCCACTGTCACATACATTGAATCACATAGTAAGTAACCTCTTTAGTCTGGCTTCTTTCACCTACCATCCAGCACTAGAGATTCATCCACGTTGTTGTGTGCACTTTGGAATTTACTATTGAAAAGGAAAATGGGAAGGACGTTCAACTGTCTCTGCTGGTCATCTTTGGGTATAACTACCTAATCAGGCAAAGAGGAAATCTTGTTTAAATAATATTAGAATCTAGCTCTATGTGAGGTATATATATATTTTTTTCTTTTACCTTTTTTGCCCCTTATAGATCATCATGCTAAATTCTCCTTCTGATCTCCATGGCTACATTGACAAAAGCCAACTCACCCAGGAACTAGGGGGAACCTTGGAATATCGCCATAATCAGTGGATAAATCACCGAACTGTGAGTTCCAACTTGTGTTTCCTTCTGAGCCCTTCAGTGTTTTCAAGAGGATGGGGAGTGCACTACCCAGACTACTTCGCCTTGGGAATGTGGGGTTTTTCTATGTCACAGGTTGATAAGAAACATGGAGAAATGGTTAAGGGTGGAAGTCTCTCCTCCTGGCTACCTTCACCTCACTGCACTCTGTATTATGGCATGGGAATACATGGGTACACCTGGGACGTTTTCAAAAATACCAGATACATTGATGGACATGAGTTAGGACAGGCCTCACAGAACCCTGGTGGTGCTATTGGGTAAATATTGATCAGCTAACCACCAGGTTGATGGTTCAAACTCACCAGCCACTCTGTGGGAGAAAGATAAGGAAAACTATCTGTCCCTGAAAAGATTAATGGCCTTGGAAGCCATATTACTATGAACCAGAATGAACTTGTTGGCAGTGGTTAGAACAAGTCAGATATTAGCATTCCATAAAATTCCCCCGATGACTTTACTGTACAGACAAAATTGACATCCAACCAAAAAATATAGATTTGGAAATCAGACCAACTTTTGTGTAAGGTGCCTTAATAGTAAAAGCATAGGTTGGATTACAAGGATCTACATAAACCTCCTCCCTGGGGGATGGACAATGGAAAAGTGGGTGATGGGAGACATCAGACAGTACAAGATGTGACAAAATAATAATAATTTAGAAATTATCAAGGGTCCTTGAGGGAGTGGGGAGCGGGGAGGGAGGGGGGAAAATGAGAAGCTGATACCAAGGGCTCAAGTAGAAAGCAAATGTTTTGAGAATGATGATGGCAACAAATGTACAAATGTGCTTGACACAATGGATGGATGGATGGATTGTGAAAAGAGATGTACGAGCCGCCAATAAAATGATTTTTTTTTTAAAGCCTAGATTGGCTTAAAGAGATGGTTGGTAGAATGAAGAAAGTGAAGGCAATTCTGCCGAGGGCTCAGAAGGAAGTGAGGAGAGCTACAGAGAAAGTCTCTCTTGTCTTAAGGAACATAGAACACCCAGGGCTACACGAGAAGGACTTAAATAGAGGCCTGGCAGAATTAACTGAGCCCTACCTCAAAGATGCCTGCATTCTCTGACTGAGGACTGGGGTACTAGGATGGGAGGGGAAGCAGAGAGTGGCCGCCCTGGACCTGTGGAAATGGTGGTCATTGGCCCTTGGGGGGAACCCCCGGTCTGTAGCTGTCCAATGGAAAGGGACCCAGAATGACTATATATTGAATACCTTGATGGCCGCCTTGCAGTGGCATGACCAGTTTTGATCTGTTTGGTTGGGATTTGAGCTTGAAAGAACTGATCCAGGAAGTTCCCCTTGGCACCAGCCTCCATGCTTTGGGTAAACAGAGCCCAATACAATGGGAGACTGAGCTGTGATGGGCAACCATTCAGGGGTTGCAGCTCACAGTGGAACTGTACTGCATAGACTCCTCATACCCACTGTGTCCAGGGGGATGTGCCCTTGGAAAAACCAATGACGTTACATGCAGTCACCTTATACCTCAGGGGGATGATTGACTTTTCTGCCTCTGGGTTTTTGTTTTCCTCCCTTTAGTTTGCTTGGTTTTGTTTGTTTGTTTGTTTGTTTGTTTGTTTGTCTGTCTGTCTTTTGTTGTCTGATAGTTGGCTTCTTGCTGTTTTGGGGGGTAGCTTGTCTTATTGAATTTGTCAAGTGAGGAGTCAACTAAGTCCACATAGAAGAAGCACACTAGCCTGTGTGATCTAAAGATGGCAATAACAGAATTCAAATATGACAAAGGGAAAAGTATCAGAGCCTAAATTGTGAACAATTTGTAGAAGGCTATGGAGGACAGTAGGGACCCAAAACCCATCTACAGAATATCTAGTCAGATTAAGCTGCTGGCAGATCCCCACTAGCCATAGGCAAGAGTCTCAGATAGCTTTACTATCAGATAGGGACCATTGTAACTGTGATTACACTGGATTGAACTTCATACTTGGCCAGTTGGCCTCCCTCTGACCCAACCAGAAATTCTTCTAGGTGCAAGTATTTCTTACTAGTTCCATGACAAAAATTTCTTCCCTGTCCTTTTAAATATTCACGGTGGTCTTTTCTTTCTTACTATCGTATTTTTATCTTTGTAGTATTATTATTTTATCCTTACCATTTTATTTTGTTTCTGTTTTTTATTGTTTCTGTTGATTTTCCACGTTGTGAAACACAGGGGAAGAGGCATAGTGATAAGAACAGATGCAAGGGTTTATAGGGGAGGTGGGGAGTATGAGGGGGTGGAGGTGGGGTGGAAAACAATATATGTGGGAGGGAGCACTAGAACTGATGGTGATTACACAACCCATTTTAAAAGTAATGTAACCATGGGGAAAATAAAGAAAGTGTTCTAAAATCGACTGTGGTCATGATTGTATAGCTTTTCTTGATATGATTGAACTATTAAACTGTGTGTGATGTGGATGAAGTGCCAATAACACTGTTTAAAGAAAAGAATATAGATCACCCCAGCAGCAAAATATTGCTACACATGTAAACATTAACGACATAAAGATAAAATAATGACTATGTGACTGGACAGTGGAGGAAGGGTGATGCTTTTTATGTAGTGGCAGAGAATTTTTCTGAATTATCTTCAACTACTTAGCAGAAGGTAGAACTTGGATATCTGGCTGAGGAGGTTGCTAAGCAAAATCTTAAAAGACCGTGTGATTTCTTCTGTACAAAATGTAAACAAAACGGAAAGATTTGGGAAAGCCCATCGTACAAACTAAGGGCCTGGGCCCTAGAACTTACACCAAGGACGGCCGTGGCCATGCAATCTTTTGTTAAAGAGGGTAAGCCTGTAACTGATGGATGAAACCCAACAAGCGCCACAGAAGACCCATCCATTCAGACTGAAGGGGCAGAGACAGAATGAAGGAAAAGAAGGCCGCCTGCCTCTGGGAATCCTACAGGCAAAAAAGAGGCTAAAGGGATGACATCTGTTGAGATCAGCCCTGGAGCAATGTAGAGATCAGCAGAATGGTTGGACGGAATATGGAAAACAAGGTGGGCCTTCCTGGGTTCAAAGGGTGAGGCCAAGGTCACCTGGATTTCAAAGGTGGGGTTATAGCCTTTGAGAGTCAGATCTTCACCAGCTTGACTGCAGTCTGTGAGACTGCCATTCAAGTGGGCCAGGGTACGGGGCTGCTGCCTAAAGCAGAGGGTTGCCTGGAATTCTTTTTGAAAGCTTTCAATAAATAAAAATCTCAGTGTACGTTCCCATCCAAGACAAAAATTATTCTGTAAGAATAGATAGAGATAGAAGGTTGAAGTCATGATGATTAGATTATTTATAACTGTAGCATGAGCAGACAAATACACACACACACACAGATATGCCCTTCAAAACTGAGTTTATATCCATGGTTTGTGTTTTGGATATGTCAAACAAATGCAGAGAATTAAAAACATACACAGAAAACTACAACTTATTAATGAACAAAATGTATTCTCTATATTCCTTTTACATGTTTCATGTATATATTTATACACATATATCATTAAGAATATAACAATATACTTTATCTGTTATGATTTATATATGAGACAAACACTATGAAAATAGAATGAAAAAAATGCTAGAAGTTTTCCAAAACTTTTTGAAGTTCTCTCATAAATATATGTATCTGTTTGCCTGTCTGTGTGTGTGTGTGTGTGAATAGCAGTGCTCTTTCTGGATTTCTGAACTTTGAAAGAGATAATAGAAATTCATCAACTATTAGAACTAAAAGGTCCGTAGACGCATTGCCTTCCATCACAGTATTTGGCATATAAGAAAACTGACCTTCGGAGAAGAGAGAGGACTTATCCAAGGTCATATTGCCAAGTAGTAACAGAGCCAAGACTAAAGGCTGGGGCTGGGAGGTTGTGGGAAGCTGGGGAGTCATGCTTTCTCGCTCCTCTGGCAGCATCAGGTTCTCAGTGCCTTTCTCAAGGTGTGAGTATTCCCCCATCTGGCTCATGGAATCAAGTTATTGGTTAATAGGGGATCGACACAGGGAACCTTGCTTTCTTTTCTTCCAGAATGACATTTCATCTTTCTTCCATTATTTGGAGACAAAGACCACAGATTCAATTTGGAAATCTGATGAGGACCAGGAAAGACCCCCTATGAATCCTTACGAAGAAGATGGTGGGATTGAACCAGCCATCTTGAGGTTGGCCATCCAACATACCAGGGATCCTACTGTTTGAGGGTACAAAAGAAACCCCAAACTCAAATATAATGTAAGGAGGGCATCTATTAAGTCTCAAAAGAGAAAGACACAGAAACATCATTCAAATGAGGGAAGCTGTGGGCATGAAGTCAAATGGTGTCCGAAGATTCATAGTCAGGATGCTAGTTAAATAAGGTACGGACCAAAGGAAAATGTCACAAATTCATGATTGGTGGCAGATCAATACATCACAGTTATAGGTGGGACTACAGAAGCAGGAACCGGGCCATGATTGGGACATGTACATTATGTTAGACAGAAAGGCTTACAAGGTTGGTCCAGGGTCTTCAAACCAAGACAGGCTGAGACTGAGAGGTCATGGCCATGCCTGTGCAACCCCCTGCACTATCCCCAGTCCAGTGAGCCCCACCAAGGGCACACCCAGGTAAGCCCTAAAAGACCACCACACCCTGGTCTGGCTCGAGAGGAAGAGAGGGTATCTACTTTCCAAGACACTCTGCCAGAGGCCAAAATTCTCTACATCCTTGGTTAAGAATCAGAAAGAATTAAATGGGTACTTAGTCTATGGGGACTCTGCAAGTGGATTTGGGGCCATCACTGCCATGTGTATAGCCTTTTGCAAACCAGGGTGTTCAGAATTTAACTCTAATACACTCCCTGCAATCCAACCTCACAGCAATTGAGCCTGTACTGATTCATAGTGACTACAGGTCAGGGGAGAAGAGCCCCTGTGGATTTCTGAGATTGTAAGTTTTTACGGAAGTAGAAAGCCTCATCTTTCTCCCATGTAGTTGCTGGTGGTTTCTAACTACAGACCTTGCAGATGGCAAACCAACATGTAACTAGCATGCCACTGTAGTCCATAGTATGTATAATATTCTTCCCCCACACCAATTCAGTCTTCCTGATTCATGGTCCAGCTTTCACATGCATATGAGGCCATGGCAAATACCCTGGCTTGTGTCAGTCTTCAATGTGACTTTTAACACTTTAAAAAGGGTCTTTTCTTGCAGATTTGCCCAAGGCAATACACTGTTTGAATTCTTGACTGCTGCTTCACTGGGCATTGATTGTGGATCTAAGTAAAATGAAATTGTTGACCTCTTCAATCTTTTTTGTGTTTATCATGATGTTACTTATTGATATAGTGTGAGGATTTTTGTTTTCTTTTTGCTGAGGTGTAATCCATACTGAAGGTTGTAGTGTTGGATCTTCATCCCCAAGTGTGCTTCAAGCTCTCTTCCCTTTCAGCAAGCATGGTTGTGTCATCCGCATATCACAGTTAGTAATGAGTCTTACCCCAATACTGATGTCATGCTCTACTCCAGTTTTTTAGATTATTTTCTAAGCATACAGATTAAATAAGTATGGTGATGATACAATCCTGCTACACTACACACCTGTCCCAATTTTAAACCATTTAGTATCCTCATGTTGTCTGAACATCTTGGTCTATGTACAAGTTCCACATGAGCACAATGAAGTGTTTTAGCATTTCCATTCTTGCAGTAGTATCCGTAATTTGTTGGGATCCATACACCTGAATGCCTTTTGTGGTTGTTACATAACTTAGTGTCAACTTGAAGATATGAAAGGTAGGGGTGGAGTCTAGCCTGTCAATCAGGTCACTGTCTGATGGTGCCTCCTTGTGGGTGTGACCTTCTCATAAGGAGGATCCTGGGAACCTCCACCTCTCTCTCTGCCTTCAGCTTCCTGTTGACAAGCCATCCTGAGACCTGTGTGTGCCCTGGAGATGTGTCCACCACCATTGGATCCACAAGACTTTTTACCCACCTGCCAGTGATCTTCCTGCATTTTGCATCACAGTATCGGACTTATGTACTTGAGTTGGACTGGGCTGGGATGTTTTATGTATGTATGTATGCATCTATCTGTCTATTGGTGTGTGTGTGTGTAAGAGAGAGCTTTATATCAAAGAGCAATTGTATATTGAAAGAACAGCTCAGCCCAGTCCAAATAAAGTCCTTAAGTCTGATATTAGCCCATATGTCCATTACTAGCCCATAAATTCCTCATCAGACTCACGCAGCCACTCGCAATGATGCCAAATTCAGAAAGATCACAGGGCAGTGAGTTCAAAATCTTGTGTATCCAATAGAGGTGGAAGCATCTCAGCACTGGCATGGGTCTCCGTGTTGCTCTTCCAACTCTCCAAGTGTGGCTCCTCAACAGGAACGTGAAGTGTGACAGCTTGTCAACGGAAAGATGAAGGCAGAAAGAGAGAGGCAGTTCCCAGAATCCTCAGGAAGGCCATGCCCACAAGGAGGCATGATGCATACTTCTTGATATAAAGCTCTCTCTTCCACATATATGATTGTCACTGGATTTGTTTCTCTAGTCAACCAGACCTAACACACCTTTGCATAGTCAATAAAATATAGGTAAACATCTTTCTGGCATTCTTTGCTTTCTACCAAAATATGATATCAACAACGATGTCCCACAGCAACGACGACATGTCCCAAATATGTCGTCTTCTGAATTTGGCTTGAATTTCTGTGTTGATTACTAATGCAACCATTTTTTAATAATCTTCAGCAAAATTTTATTTGATGATGTTGTTTAATAATGTCCACATTGTAGCATGTAGGTTAAGCCTTGGGCTGGTAACCACAAGGTTGACACTTTAAATCTGCGAGCAACTCCTCTGGAGAAAGCTGAGGCTTTGCTGCTGTGAAAAGATTGTCTTGGAAACCTGATGGAGCAGCTCTACTCTGACCTGAAGGTCACTCACTATGAGTCGGGATCAATCCAATAGCAGTGGACAGTGGTTGGATTGCCTTTCTAGGAAATGAGCATAAAATACAGATCTCTTCAAGTAAGTTAGCAAAGTAGATTTTCCCCAAAATTTTTAGCATCCATCGGTGGGCTTTTCTGGTGTTGTATCTGTTTATAGAAACATCTCAATTGTACTCCCTCAATGCAAGAACACTTTGTTCTATTAAACTGGCATTCCATGATATTCACCTTCCCAACACTATCGCTGAAGCGGGTATATAAGCAATTGTGGTGAAGAAACCTGATGGTGCCCGGCTATCAAAAGATAAATAGCGTCTGGGGTCTTAAAGGCTTGAAGGTAAACAAATGGCGATCTAGCTCAGAAGCAACAAAACCCACATGGAAGAAGCACACCAGCCTGTGTGACCACAAAGTGTCGAAGGAATCAGGTATAAGGCATCATCAGAACAAAAAATCTTACCATAGTGAATGATGGGGGGAGTGCGGAGTGGAGATCCAAAGCCCATTAGTAAGCAACTGGACATCCCCTTACAGAATGGTTGTGGGGAGGAGATGAGCCAGTCAGGGTCCAGTATAGCAACGATGAAACATACAACTTTCCTCTAGTTCTTTCTTTCTTTTCTTTTTTGTGGTCCTCTCTGTGGACTGGCTGCTCTAATTGGGATCATCATCCTCAAGGCCTGGTGGGCCAGGATGTGTTCCAGTCTCTCTTCCTCCCCCTTCATCTGCACCTGTGTGCTCCGATCAGATATGTCCCTCTCCGGAGCTGCAGATTCAATGCCGCCCTTTGAAATAGACTCTTCTGCGGGGAGGAGCAGGAGTCCATTTAGTATTTGGGTTGGGGCCGGCCCTTTCCTCTAGTTCTTTAATGCTTCCTCTCCCCCCACTATCACGATCCCAGTTCTACCTCACAAATCTGGCTAGACCAGAGGATATACACTGGTACAGATAAGACCTGGAAACACAGGGAATCCAGGACAGATAAACCCCTCAGGACCAATAATGAGAGTAGCATTACCAGGAGGGGAAGGGGAAGGTGGGATAGAAAGGGGGAAACGATCACAATGATCTAAGGGGGATGGACAACAGAAAGTGGGTGAAAGGAGATATCAGACAGTGTAAGACATGACAAAATAATAATAATTTATAAATTATCAAGGGTTCATGAGGGAGAGGGGCAAAATGAGGAACTGATACCCAGGGCTCAAGCAGAAAGCAAATGTTTTGAGAATGATGATGGCAACAAATGTACAAATGTGCTTGACACAATGGATGGATATATGGATTGTGATAGAGTTGTACGAGCCCCCAATAAAATGATTTAAAAAAGAGAAACATCTCAATTGATATTCATCAAATTATGCAGCCTTGTTCCTCATCAATCCCTTCAATGTAGCTTAGACTTTTCCCTGTAATAACATCAGTTCTTGATCATATACTTGAACTGACTGAATGTCAACTAATCCTTTTGATACAGTGACTTATTTCTTCTATCTTCTTTTTATATTTCTTGCATCATTAAATATCTTGCCTATAGAATACTGCAACTTGAAACTTGGAGTTTTCTTCAGTTCTTTCTGAGAAATGCTGGGTGTGTTCTTCCCTTTGAGTTGTCCAAGTCCTGGTCTTTGTACATTTTTTTAAGATGCTTTATTTTGTTTTCTTGGGTCACTCTTGGAAATTTTCTGTTCAGATCTTTTTCAAAGCTTTAAAATTTCTTTCATTTGCTTTAGCTACTTTATGTTCAAGAGTACAAGGGCTCAAGCAGAAAGCAATGCTTTGAGAATGATGATGGCAACAAATGTACAAAGGTGCTTGACACAATGGATGCATGTATGGATTGTAATAAGAGTTGTATGAGCCCCCAATAAAATGATATAAAAGAAAAAAAAAGCGCACGTTTCAGAGCCTCTTTTGACATCCACTTCGGTCTTTTCTTTCTCGCCTGACTTTTTAAGGACCTTTTTGCTTTCTTTGTGTATGATGTCCTTGATAAACTCACAAAGCAAACGCACTGCCGTCAAGGCCACGCTGACTCATAGGGATCCTATGTGGTTTTCCAAGACTTTTTATGGGAGTAGCATGCCTCATCTTTCTCCTGCGGAGCAGCTGGTGGGTTAGAGCAACTGACCTTGTGCTTAGCAACCCAGTTGGTAACTCCTCTGCCAGGACTCCTGTGGTGCTTTTGATGTCACCTCTCAATTCATCCAGTCTTTGGTCATTAGTGTTAAGTGTGCCAAATATGTTCTTGAGATGGTCTCTCAATTCAGGTGGGATGTACTCCAGGTTGTATTGAGGCTTTTGTGGACTTATTTTAATCTTTTTCAGCTTCAACCAGTTGACCTTTGCTCTTTTCTGACTGATGCCATTGAGCTTCTCCATCGAGTTTGTATGCAGATGTGGTCAATTTGATTCCTCTTCTCTCTTTTCACCTTCCAGCATCACCTCAGTAAGCAAGCCACCACAGTAGGACGAACTGAAAGTTGAGTGGTGGAATTTCTTTTTTTTTTTTTAAGTTGTTGCAGATGTGAAATTAGGCCAGGCCATGGGGTTGCACAGCCTTTTGGATTGCCTGCAATCTCTGTAGCATTCACCCAGATCTTGGGAATTTCTTAAGATAAATTAGCGTATTGTTCCAAGGCCTTCTTTTTGAATGTTGATCTTACTGCTGTCTGTTTCTCTCTAAGCATTGTTTTTTGCTGTATCTCATTAAGTTTTGATATTTGTGTCTTCATAGTCATTGATCTCAGAATACTTTCTAATTTCCCCCATGATTTCATTTTTGAATGCACTGGGGAATTTGGAAACAGCAGTGGTTGAGCACTGGGCTGCTAAACAAATGATTGGTAGTTTGAATCCCACAGTCTTCTGCAGCCATAAAGATTATAGCCTCGGTTCATAGGTTTAAGCCATCAAAATGTACGGGATGGGAATTATAAGTCATTAAAACTGAAAAATAAAGAAAGAATTGCTATAATTGTTATTTATCAAAGGTTAAATGGTTATAGCCTTGGGAACTATAGGGGACAGTTGTAGGCTACCCTATAGGGTCACTATGATTCAGAACTGTTTCAATGGCAGTGGGTTTTGTGGAGTTTTGAGTTTTGTTTGTTTCATTCAATAAATAGGATCAAGTAACAGGTACCTTCTGTCTGAACAAGGAAAGCCCTGGGTAGCACAGAAGTTTGGGGCATCACCGTTTCCCTGATATTTCAGCTTGGCGGGGTAAAGGTCTGAGTTGTGCTGTCATTGAATTTAAGGTCACAAATGACAGAGCCTGGACTGAAGCTTGTGCCTCTGATGCTCTTTCTGCCCCAGTGCTCTCGTCTCAGATGCCAACTTCAAACACAGCCTCACCCCTGACTCTCAGGGTTTTCACTTTTGTCCTTATTCTTACACTTAGAAAGTACTTCACTGTCCCCAAGATCCATTCACATGCCCTCTTCCTGTTGACTCTAAAAAACAACACCAACCAAAAAGCCCCACAAAAAGCTCCTTCAAAAATAGAGCATACATCATACCTGTTTTTCAAATGAGGATCTGGATTCAAAGACATTACATGGTTGTCCCCAAGATGACACAGTTAGAGAGGACCAGAATCTGGTGATTAATCTAAGTCTTCAGTGATGAAGGCCAAGGTTTTTTGTTTTGTTTTCTCCCAATGTTAAGTCAAATTTTACTGTTAATAGTCACATAGCATTGTGACTGAGAGGGCTGGCTTGGGAGCCGGATTGCCTGAGTGTAATGCCCAGTTTTGCCACGTTGTCTCTCCTTTTGGTATGACTTTGGTGAAATTACTTAGCCTCGATAAGCCTCCATTTCTTCATTTCTATAATAGGGATGCAATGATAATAATAACTCCTCAAGGAGAGGCACTGGAAGAGACAGTGAACATAAACCAAAATACTTAATGATCGTATGCTCTCTCCTTCTAATGCTCCTGACAGTGGGATTTTTATAGTATGCTATTCACCATCTTAGGCTGGGTTCTCGAAACCCACTGCTGGTTACTTGATTCTGATTCATGGCAAGCCTGTCGGATGGAGTAGAACTGCCACTTTGGGTTTCTGAAACCGTACATTAACTCTAGGAAGAGACAGCCTCATCTTTCTCTTGAGAAATGACTGGTAGGTTTGAACTGCCGACTTTGTAGTTAGCAGCCCAACACATAACCCCCTATCCCGACAGAGTGCTTTAGATTGGGCCATTTAGAGGAGCAAGCTAGCAAAGTATAAATCTAAATATATATACATGGAGATATTCATCTCAAGGAAATGGCTCATATAGATAGATAGGTGCTCAAGTCCCAAGTCCAATCCATATGTTAGGCATAAGACTAAAGGCTTCTCCTTCACATGGTTGCAGGAGCTAACTAATCCCCAATTGTCAAGCTGCTGGTTATTGGGGCTGATGTATCCCCAAAGCTAGAGGTCAGACAGCAAGTTGCTGTCTCCCATCCCAAGTACCAAGAGGTCGAAGGATGGTGATGAGCCAGATGCAAGATCAAGGGTGAGCTTTGCCAGATCATCTCTATATATCAGATGCAGGCCACATCCCCAAGGAAACAGATTAGCTTATAATTAATTAATTTTCAAGTGATTGAATGCTTAGATCACAAAATGGAAGGCAACTATATTATATTACGTTATTAAAGAGCAACCAGTCCAAATGTCTGCCAATCCACTGAGAATTATAGCTTTGCCAAGTTGACCCATAATAGTAACCATTGTTTTCATAAGCCTGTAGGAGGTCTAAGGACATAATGGTTACTCATTGAACTGCTAACTGCAAGGTCAGCAGTTTGAAACCCACAGCCTGTCCAAGGAGAAAGAGGGAGTTTCTACTCCTGTAAAGAGTGACACTCTTGGACACCATGGGGGAAGTTCTACCCTGTCCTGTAGGGTCTCTGTGAGTCAGCATTGACTTGATGGCAGGGAGTTTGTTTGTTTGTTTGTTTGTTTTTATAGTGAATGCCATTGAATGAGTAGCTTATATGAATTAGATTATCTCAAAGTTATAAAACTTTGATGTACTTAAAACTAAGTACACCAACTTTAATAAAAGTTAGTGTTTGTCTGCTTTTCCAGCTCAAAAGTATTGTGATGTTCAAGGTTGTAGCTGTCTAAATAACTTGTACTAAAAGGCAGAGACTCCACTCACGGCGATATTTGAATATGGAAATGATAGAAGGAGAGGAGACTTTGACTGGAGCCCCTAGAGGAGGTAGGTGTTCAGGTGCTGGGAGCCCCCTTGTACCTGCCTCGCCCTGACCTCTGAAGTGAAGATGGGCCACCTCAGATCTGGAGCATGCTGCAGGGGGTGTTCAGAAGTTTTGTCTGATGATAAATGAACAAGGATTTTTTTTTTTTCTCAAGTGAATATTAAACTAGGCTTCTTTACTCACTCAGCAGCCCTGGACGGCCCCATAAAGGGGACCCCATGTCCTGAACATACAGAGATGAATGTGCTTGACCTTTGGGACAAAGTTAATTCAGGAACAGAAGTGTGTGTGTGTGTGTGTGTGTGTGTGTGTGTGTGTGTGGTGTGTGTGTGTGTGTCCGCGCCCGTGTGCCAGTCTGGCAGAGCATGATGACCTGTTGGCATCTGGCAGGCCGCTCGTCCTCAAATAACTTCTCTGATGGTCAGTGTCACTCAGGCTGCATGTCTACTAGGCAGTGTGCTAAAATGTAGCTATCACCCCTGGACCACCAGCCGGGAAGCCACAAGCAATGTAAGACAGGCACATTTTTAATAAAGGGGAAGTAAAAGGTGAAGATTCCCGACCTCTACTTATAGCTGGCAGAAATGACACTCTTGGAGGGCACGAGGGACCTAATCACTGTGCGCCTCTTTTTCTTTGGGGGAACTTAAAGAAAAGTACGTTTCCTCTGAGAACACAAGACAGGCTTCTCAGAGTTGCTGGGAGGGGGGAGCAATACAGAAGAAAAGATTGCTTAGAGGGGAAGTTGGGTGTCCTTGCTTTTTTTAGCATTTCACCTGGTGTCTGTATCCTCTGAGTGGTTTTGTGCTACTGGACAGTCCCTCAAAGGTGTGGCAGCAAACCGTGATTGAGTCCTCCCTCCCTCTGTTGTTAGCAATATGATCTTGGAAAATCCATTGAACTGGTTGGAGCTCCAGCTCCCTCGCCTCTAGAATGATGATGAAACATCTGCCACATGGGATTGTTGAGCGGAGACACACGTGGAGCATGTGGAGTGCTGTACACAGTATCACGCAAATGGCAGGGCTAGGTCTGTGTTGTAGGTTCTGACTCATCCTGACCTCAGGTACAGCAACCAAAACGAGCCTTTGGGCTGTGATGCTAATCTCTCCATGTTGTTGTCGTTGTACGACTTTCCAGGCCATTGAAAACTTTGCCGTGACAATAAAGACCATGGCCCAGATGCTCCAGATGTTTGGGACCTGCCTTGCAGAGACTGAGCTGCCCAGAGGCTTGCAGTCCACCGAAGACCTTCTGTTGGCCCACGTGAGGCAGCAGACCCAACTGATGGTGAGTGGTCGGTGGGTCCTCAAAGGCCAGCTCCTGTGCCGTCAGGGTGGGTCAGAGAATGAAGAAGCGACTTCAAGGTTAAAGCCTCTTCTTATCTCAGCATACTTGGCAGCCAGCAGACTATCTTCAACCTCCAGGATAGGCAGTAGGACAGAGGTTCTCAACCTTCCTAATGCTGCGACCCTTTCATACAGTTCCTCATGTGGTGGTGACCCCCAACCATGAAATTAATTTCGTTGTGCTTCATCACTGTCATTGTGCTACTGTGATGCATCATCGTATAAATATCTGTTAGGCAGGATGTATTTTCATTATTACAAATGGAACATAATGAAAGTATAGTGATTCATCACAAAAACAGTATGTAATTCTGTATTTTGAAATATTTATTTCTAATGACAAATAAAATTTTGTCTTCAAGTCTAGTGTAGCATGGGTACCAGTCTTCATGCTGGGTACTTACTTGTAGGTGGGCATATCTACATGTGGGCAGACCGCCTGGAGACGGATAGAGGAGCAGTGACTTGGTTCCTAAGACCACTGGAAATATGTTTTCCAGTGATCTTAGGCGACTCCTGTGAAAGGGTCGTTGGACCCCCAAAGAGGTCACAACGCAGAGCTTGAGAAGTGCAGCAGTAGAAGAAAAATATCTTTTTGTGAGACGAGGTGGTGAAGCGGCAAGAATTACAAGTCAGACTTAGGAGAAGTAACCCAACCAAGGGAAACCATCCAGCTTTGTGCTTGCTGGTGAGGTGTGATTGCCTGAGCATCCTTTCCAGGACGGCATGCCTATGATTCTACTCAGGTCGAAGCAAGACGCAATGGACTGAAATCGCACTGACCGAGTAAGGGCAACAAGGGCATTGGCTTTTCAACTCTGCAGGTTCCAAGCGGCTGTTGAGACTCCAGGGGCAGAGTACTAGCTGACTTACTGCTTCACATTCTCCATGATAGGCCTGTTTTATTGGGGGACTCATAAAAAGGCTGAGAAAAAGGATGAAAGAAGTTGGTCTGACTAGGGATGCGTTTCAGGACAGGAATACATGAAATGACTCATAACAGCAGGTCAGAACATGCTGAAAAAGGAACTCGCCCGCTTCTTCCAGGTGATGGACAAGAAGGGATGTCTTGCTTGGGTTTCTGAGTAAAAGTGTGTCAGCTGCTGCTGCCTCAGCAAGCACAAATGGAGTCAGCATGCACGGGAGCCTGGTGTCCTCCGGAAGGCCGGAAGGGGAGGATTGCAAGTGTGACATCTCTTCACTACATGGAATTTGGGAAGAGCTAGACTATTTGGTCATTTCTTCAACATTGATTGAGTACTCAGCACCCTATGCCAGAGAAATGAACAGAGTGAGAGTTCCGGGAACATATCGTCTCGTGGGGGACGCTCAGATGCTTCTAATTGGGGCACATGCATTCTTCTGTGCTTTAGTGAACACTTTTAAATGCTCTCTAAAGGAACTTGGTACACAAGAGTTTGAAATGCAGTCCTAAGATAACCCTAAGTAATCCAAAGATCTGCTCTGAAACGTTGAACGCCTACATGGATCTTGGCAAGTTTTCTGGAAATGCCTCGGAAAGCCTTGACTATTTTCTTTTCTAAATCGATAGGCCAAATTTGCCTTCCCTCCTTCCAGGGAGAGACAGACGGAACAGGTTGCAGAAAGTAGGATCTAAAATTCTCCAATGACATTTGCTAGAAAACAATTTGAGGTCACAGGACCACCAGTCCCCGGGTCATGGACCAAAAGGGCTCTGCACAGCAGTCGGCTGCTACCAGAGAGTGTGGTGGTGCGGACGGCTGGAGCAGCAGAGAGAACTGCGGAAGGGATTCCATTGCTCAGGCCATGCGCACCATTGTTGTCTGTCTTGTCCCAGAAGGGTTTGGAGAGGTTACAGAGAAGCACAGAGAAGGTTTGTGAAGATCAGATAAAGACATTTAGATTGTTGGTTATATATATCTACCAAAATCACAGAAACTTTATGAAACAAAAATGTCAAAGAGTCAAGCTATTGTTTCCCAGCAGATCCTCCATCTAGGTCTCTACACTTCGAAAGGGAGAGTTTCCATCTCTCTTAACTCTTCCCCCAAAGAATTCTGCACTCTTTGCTTGACACCGCATCCAAATTGCTGTTTTGACTGCATAGAAAGACTCAGATTGTATTCCTTCTAAATGTTAACTTGGGAGAACAAAAGGAAGTCTGAAGGGACCATCTCAAGGCTGGATGAGGAGGAAAACTTTCCCAATGGAATCCTTGTAAGACTGCCCTGGCTACTCTCAAAGAATGATAAGAGACATTCTCTTGACAGAAAAAGACATTTGGATGCAATTTTTCCTGGCTTTTTCCCTCATCGATGTGGCTTTTCAGTTTTCTTAAAACTTCTTCGTTAAGCCTCCACGATTGCCTGGTAGCCGAGAACATCTTGTAAGAGGCCCCTTCGCAGTCCTGAAAAACCAGTCTCCCTCACCTTCTGAGCTGACTTGTCTGCCTTGAATTTAAATGGCCACCATTTTGATTAGATATTTGTGGCAGTCACCATAAGGAGATTAAGATAAGTGTGTTACTGGGAGAACTTGCCTGTAGCTATCCATTGACCACAGAGACATGTTTAAAAGCATTTTGTTTGGAACGCATCCATGGAGGCATCCCCTAGAATCCTAGTAGCAATGCTTTTAGACTTTTACGACTTTCTCTCAGAGGTCAAAATCAGATCAGCCACATAGGTTCTGCTGTGCGTGCCATGAGGGTCAAGAGATGCAAAGACGAGTTGCATTAGGCCAGTCTGCTGCACAGATTGAAAAGGAAGGATGCTACTTTGAGGATGAAGGTGCATCTTACCCAAGCCAGGGTATTTTCTGTTGCCTCGTATGCATGTGAAAGTGGGACATGGAAGACGGAAGAAGAAGAATCCATGCATTTGAACATTGGTGCTGGCGAAGAATATCGAAAGGACCATGGACTGCTCAAAGGACAAGCCGACCTGTTGTGGAAGAAGTACGGCCAGAATATTCCTTAAAGGCAAGGACGGTGAGAGTGTCTCGTGTACTGTGGACGTTATCCCTAGAGGACACCATGCTTGGTAACATTGAAGAGCAGTGGAAACAATTCTTGACAGGAGGGATTGACACCGTGACACAATAGTAGGCTCTGGCGTAAATGACAATGGGGAGGACGGTGCAGGAGCAGGCAGTGGTTTGTTCTGTTGTCCGTAGGATTGCCATGATTCCGAACCAACTCGCCGGTGCCTAGAAACCCAAGGAACTGTACGGAGGTGCGGAGACGGCAAGGACCAGTGTCCGAGATGGAGTAAGATCACTTCCTCTGGAAAGTAACCAACTGCTCTCAGAAGTAAAACATCCAACTCTCCAAGGAAATTAAACTTCCCCTCAGATTATGTAATGGGGTAACTTTGTAGACCCACATAATTTGTAGGATTGGCTCACATTTATACGAAACATCTTTGTACTCTAATTATGATCTCAAGTATATAAATCAATATCTTCATTTGATCAAACACCCATGTTAACAATTACGTGGTACTCCACTTAGTGCAAATAATCTCAAATATAAAAAAACCAAATATCTCAATTTGGCTAAATGCTCATGTTTACATGGCACTAAGTTTAATGTAAGTAACAGTCAACTGTCTGACCTGTAAGACAAATGAAAATAATTTAGGAAATTTAGTTAGTTAGTCTTTTAGTAAGAAAACAAATGAAAAGTTTCATATAAACTATCAATGTGGTTATATCTGAAAAATCACAAAATAAAACTCACAGAAAAGTTGGATTTGTCCAGGCGTTTATGTTGATTAGGAATATTATGTGAATTTGAGTTAGAAACATAAGCGTTCTGTCTTTATCTCATGGAGCAATATTAGTAATTAGTCATCTTTTAAAGACAACACAGAAGAGCTTACGAAAGCATTTTTTATGATTACGAAGTGTTGGACTGAAACCAGTTGGATTTTCTTATTCATTAAACTTACAATGTAGAAGAATGAATACCAAAATCATTAAACTGGAATTCCAAAATGCTTTAAAGAGAGAAAGGGTTTATATCAGGAAAAGAAAAAAAAGGAAAGCTGTTTAAACGGTGCTCGGCAATTTAGTCATCTTGTGGTTATTGATCCATATTTCAATTTGGATCACTGTTTTACTTAGCTTTTGAGGGCCCAGGTTCATTCCCTAACCAATGTCCCACATGCGCAGCCACCACCCACATGTGGAGGTTCGGGTGCTGCTGTGATGCTTTAACAGGTTACAGTGGAGCCTCCAAACTAACATGAGGTACAAGAGCCTGCCCACAGAAACCCTAGAAATCACCATGATCAGCTCCTGTTCAGCTGGGTCTCCATGAACAGCTCCTGTTCAGCTGGGTCTCCATGATCAGCTCCTGTTCAGCTGGGTCTCCATGAGCAGCTCCT